TCCATTTCTCAATGCAGAGATTGTCTAATCACCAACAGAACATCGGGGAATTCATCATATGAAAAAGCGGTCACATTTCTTCCAACTCAAATCCTAAGGAGTGTTCTGTATTAAAGGAATCCTTGCGCGGAAAATTCTTGCATCATGAATGTGTCAGTTGTGATCACTGGAAATAGCACACAAAGTTTCACGCATGAAGATTCGGTTTCCGAAGAGAAACAAACGTACAAAAACTACACTCTATGGACAATCGAAGGTAATTCGGGCGGAGCCAAAGGCGAGGCATGGAAAGAAGTTGGCCTTTGGCCGGCTACGTATCAGGCGACGCAATGAAAGAATCGGGTTAAAGCGCGCGATTTCGGAGAGTAGAGACAAATCGATCGATGAATAGAAGTGTGAGATGTGAATGCAATAAAGCAGAAGGCCAGAAAGAGTTTCTAGTGAAGGCACTCCAAGAACCAAGTGGAAGCATCCCCGTCGCCAGCATTTGTGACAGATGTCCGGCGGGACTTTGAACGCGTAGCAGCCCTTTCGATTTTTCGAATTTTTACCAAAACAAAAGCAATTTTCTGTTCTTTTCATTCTTATCGTGGATAATGAGTCTCAAGCCAGTGATTTATGGCTGAAATAGAATCATGATTTTTCCGTGCAAGGATTCCTTTAAGTGTGCTGAAGAGAAACCACTGCCATAAGCGTAGTCGGGACGTCGTTTGTTCGAGCAGTCGCTCTTGTAAGCCTTGAATTTACTCCATAAGACTTACCTGGCTGGGGAGTATAGGAACGGATCGTTATTCTCGCAATTGATGGAAGGTGGGTTCCAATGAGCTACTTTTTCATCATGATAATTGTTGCTATAGCTTCATAATTTCACTTGAGTAACACTAGTGTTGCCTCCTTGGTTGCCATTTCCCCGTACTTCCGTTGACATAGCTTTCCTAATTGCTAATCTTCTGACTTCTAGAAGGTGTGCATAGCACAGTGACCTCTACGCCTTTGCACCAAATTAGCATAGCTCCACACTTTAATTAGAGGCGAGCTTAGGTGCGAAAACTAACTTTCCGTCTCTATTCCTCTGACCCCACCTACCTGCACAACGGGGACAATGAGTTTCCGAAAAGGCTTCATTTATGTACATATTATCGCAAAGGGCAAGCACTCGAAGGAGCAATATAATATTGTTTGCTGTTTAATAATCTTTCATCGTTATGTTGATGTTGTTAAATTGGGTCTTTACGGCCACATTGGTTTTCATCAGCAAGGTCTTGTTGCCGTAATTTTCGCCCACCCGTTTGTTGAGGGGGGGGGGGGGAGGAGTAGGGTCGTACTGAAGAAGCGAATATAGATGGTGATGGTTTGTTTCTCGAGAATTCAAGGAATTCAGGAATTTTCCCTTAAACAGTGTGTCCCAAAAGTATAGGGACACCCTATTTTTCTTCAATATCTCTATAATGGGCGAATGATTTCTCTCCAAATTTTTATCAACAATGCATTATTACACCAGGTACAAATATATAAATGAAATTGGGAAGAAAAAATCTTGTAGATTTTTTATAATTTTTTTTCTAAAATCATGGCGTCCCAAAAGTATAGGGACACTTCGGCGTTCAAACTTCCCGAACGATATACTCAATGAAATCAGCAATAACACTAATAATTAAAAAGTAGTAACGTTTCTTCTCCTT